TTGGGTAACTCTACTTATTAGTATTACACATCCTTTTATACTTAATTGGCGTCTGGTTTTTGTTTCTTGGGCATTAGTTATGGTCGTCAGATTTATTAATGTTATGATTATCCCGCTCATTAATTTTAATCTTACATGCGGGTTAACGGCTTAGTTCTTTACACCTGTTCATATATATATTTAATTTTCCAAGGTTAAAGTATCCCCAAGCTAATAAAAAATATATATATGCAACTTCAGTAGTTCATGGAACAAAAAAGAAGAGGCGGTAAGCTAATTCTGTGGAAGATTGTGATCAGTTCGATTTGACTTCTGGTTCTTGACTTTTTTTATGGACATTGATAAACTATGGATACTTTCAGCATTTTATTTCCTTTCCTTGTTCTTAAATTTTTTCCTGTCAAGTGCGATGAAGGATAGAAATGTATGCGTGAATCCTATATGTTAGCTTTTTAAAGTCATTTTCTGTGTCATAGGTTGCAAGAAAAGGAAAATTTTCAAAACTGAGTTCTCTATCTCTCACTACTCTTCCTCTTCTTCTTTTAGTCTCTGCAAACGTGCTTAAAATTGAGTCTTCCCTACACATGCATGTCATTTGTGGAGTATTCATTTGTTGAGGCCCAGTTTCGACTTTGATATTGCCATTACAGCTTTAATTATTCTATAACTATAATTGTAGGGTCAGCTGGAGTTGGATTTACCCCACATGTCATCACCGTGAAAGCTGGAGAGGTTCATATTTTTATCTGTTTTCTTTTTCTTTCATCTTTTGTTTTCTTTATTTGGCATTTCGAGATTGTTGCAGCTGCATTATCTTTTGTTTTCTTTATCAACGCAATTGAATAATTAAATGAGAGCATATGACAAATATATGTGAACATCTTATTATGGAAACTTCACGCATGTGTCCATTATTCCATCATGGGGGAAAGATAATCAGGTGCAATCATGCTAATATGAGGAACTATTGCGACATTTTGATCTCTGTGCTGTTGTATTTGAACTCTTACTCACATTTTCATTAGGACTGAAATCTCAATTTGTGTCATGTTGTTTTCCAGGATGTATCTTCGAAAATAATGTCATTTTCGCAGAATGGTCCGAGAGCTGTTTGTATCCTTACGGCAAATGGAGCAATATCCAATGTGACTCTACGTCAACCAGCCATGTCTGGTGGAACTGTGACTTACGAGGTTTGTTAATCTGGTTCTTTTATTCGTGTTGATTTTGAACTGAAGATTTTCTTTATTATGACTTCGCTTTTGAATGTTCAATATATGCCTGCGAGGATGAAACTTTTTAGTCATTAATGAACTCCTTAGTCCCCCATCTTAATGGCCGTTTGAAGATCTTTGATTGTTAAACAGATCTTGTTCTTCTCTTTTGTGGAACTAATGGTTATGCTGAAAATGTCACTGTTATCAATTCTCTCAAAAAAAAAAAAAAAAAAAATTGTTATCAAACAAACAAACTATGGTAAAATAAAAGAACTTAAGAAGATTACATCCAATGGATTTGAGAAGGAAAGGAAACTAGTTTCCATAAGGTTAATTGCTCTTCTCATATTTTAGTGTCTCCCAGTAATTCACTAAACTCAATTTCATTTTGAGTAAAAAGTTTCAGTGTGCTCATTCGAAGCGCAACAATAACTTTGAATATTTAGATAGAATTTATAGACACAGTCATGCATTCAGTGGCGATTAGGTATTTAGATAGAATTTATATGTTATGCAGGGGCGATTCGAGATCTTGTCACTATCTGGGTCATATCTCCTGTCTGAAAATGGCGGTCAGCGGAGCCGAACTGGGGGTCTAAGTGTTTCATTGTCTGGACCAGACGGTAGAGTATTAGGTGGTGGGGTGGCTGGTCTTCTAACGGCAGCGTCTCCTGTTCAGGTACATTAGTTTGCGTCATGACTGTGTTCTTACTTCTATCACAACCCTCTATATTATTATTATTAGTATCATTATAATCAAGATGTTTTTATTTGCACTGCCCACTTGGTCGTGATGTTATTGATTGTGAATCGGTTATCGGATTCGTAGGTGGTGGTGGGGAGTTTCGTCGCAGATGGGTGGCGCAAGGAATTGCAACAAGCAAACCAAATTGAACAGCCGCCTGCTTCTGGACCTCATAAACTTGCTCCAATCCGTGCTGGAATGACGGGGGCCAGCAGCCCGCCATCACGTGGGACTCTCAGTGAATCCTCAGGAGGGCCTGGAAGTCCGTTTAATCAGAGTGCTGGAGGCTGCAACAACAGTAACCCACAAGGCATGACCGCCATACCTTGGAAGTGAAACTGAAATTGCTCCTTAACTCACTTGATTTGCTAATATAGGCGGCCCCAGCTGGAATCATTTGTTTTAGATGCACCTGTAATTTAAGCTAAGCCTTAAGAGGATAAAGACAACCCTGGTAGCGTCGATTAGGATTTAGAAGAGGTTGTGAAATAGTTGTGTTGTTTTGTTTTAGCATTATAATGATAGTAGTAGCATTACAAATGATGAGTTTATTTCTATTACAGCGGTAGTATTATAATGCTATAAAATTAAGAGATCATTTCTCAAGGATGGTATTGCTACGAGGTTTTTTTCTATTCTCAAATTCTCTAAATTTTCTTCACCTGTCTCTCGCTTGCCACTAACATAGGTGGAAGCATTTAACTCCTAGCTCTTTTCAACAAAAAGCGCAAGGAAAAGAAACCTAGAAGAAAGGTCTGCAAAAACCATCCCCTTGAGTTAGCAGGATCCACCTTTCTTGCCAAGAACCATGCATATATACCCTCACCAACATGCAGCAGAGAGGCTATAAGAAACACCATCTGCACCGCTCGAATTGACCTAAAGAAGAAAAGGCTGATGGCTCTGAACAATGGAACAGGTCCAACGTCTGGAAGGAAAGCAGCACAAAACAGGATGCTCATTCCGACAATACAGAACAGCCAGACATGTATTGTTGGCCCATCAATACTCTTCCTTTGCCTCTGCTGCCAATATGAGATGGTCGCAGCCATGCCCTCCTTCGGGCTTACCATTGGAACATAGCCCAGCTCCTCCTTGGCTTTAAGATACGAGAAATAATTATTGACGCCAACCTGTATCAAAATGTTTGAACAACTTGTAACTAGGATTCAGGGAAGAATTTATTAAGAAGCGGGTTATTTGGTTCTAATTAGATGTCCAAACGTTCAGCAATACCACCTACATCTTTACAGATATAGCCATCAGAAGAACAATAAACAAACCTTGTAAATTTCAGTGGGAAGCATCAAGGGATGTGGAAGCCACCAACTATTTAGCCATGGATATAACATCGTGTAGAATGCAGCAAAAAATTTTCCCAAGACAAGAGCTTGAGGAACAGCCAGGGAAAACTTTGGCAAGTCATAACCTAGGCTATTGAGCAGAGGTTTACAGAATTCGAAAGAATTGACTGGACAACCTGATGAAAATTTAGAGTTTTTCAGTAATACCTCATTGTCCAATAATGAAAAGAAGAACACAGCACGATATTAAAGTCTATGGATGTAGAGTTACCATCTGATACATAATATGGCTGGCCAGCAGCTATTGGGCCTCTTCTTTTACCAGGAATGTCATCCAAAAGCCCCATGCTTGCCAATATCAAAGCAAGCACGAGATTATCCACATAGATCCAGTCAGTTTTAACACTTGGTTTCCCAACTCTAAAAGGTAGCAAGCCTAACTTTGCCAATAAGACCAACCTAGGAAAATGCCTCTCTTCCCCTGGTCCGTAGATGGCACAAGAACGTATTGCACAGGTGTGAAGACATTTCCCATTCCCGTTCCTACAAGTGCAAGGCATAAGCTAACTGCTAATGTCATGGTACGCTCTTGAGAAATAAAGTAATGCCACAAGCATTGTAAAAAGCAACAGCAACTTGGATGGATACCCATAAGTTCTTTTTGATCAGTTTTTCAGTTTTCCTTAAACAAAATGAGTCACATCGGCAGATATCCTAATGATATCACTAAGAGCAATCCAAAACAATTAATCAAACCAGAAAAATCAAAACCATTGTAGTACAGAGATAACTATATGTCTACAGTTCACTTACTTCAAGGGGCGCCCGTTGGTCTTCAGAACTAACTGTTCTGCAATAGATTTACTTCGACCATATGCATCAACATGATTATCAATTGGAAAATAAGGTAACCCCTCATTCCCATTAACAATCTCTTGACCTCCAAACACTACATTATATGTGCTCAGATATATAAGCCGTCTGATGCCAAATTGCAGGCAAGCATCCAAGACATGGCATGTTCCGTTGATATTAACCTCATCAATCCGACCAACTTGAAGCATTTCTTTCCCTGACAACCCGTATGCTGCCAGGTGGAAAACACAATCAACACCACGAAGAGCTCTTTCCACATCCTTTTTGGAGGTAACATTCCCTACACGACTGCAAGAGTTAACTTCGAAAGAAACCTAATGTTGAACTCAGTCTTAATTACTTAATCATAGAGAGATAGAATAAATGCGCATTACTGAATACGAAAATCATCGGAATTCACGCCGTGGCCATTCTCAGAGAAATGAATTGAAAGCAGAAAAGAAAAAAGAAAGTACAAACGAAACAAATCACGCCAGGATGATCAAAGTGCATGCATTACGGCGGCGAGATTATAATCACAGCTCCCAGGTTAATCGCAAAATTAAACAGTAAAAGTGGGCCCTAATTGCAGAGAGGGATGAACCTTGGATGATGTTGACTCCGTGGATCTTGAGGCTGTCTGACCAAGGAGAGGCTGGTCGGAGGTCGAAGGCTCGGACCTGGAGAGCGCCTCTCCGGACGAGCTCTAAACAGAGGGCGGAGCCGACGAAGCCCAATGCGCCGGTGACGGCGAAGGTGTTGCCTTCTATGCCTTCATTGGCGCTCAAATGCATCCTGTGTGACCGGAATTTGGAGCAATTACAGACAGTATCGACGTCCGTGATCAAAACTCAGAGAGAAAGCAAAGTGTTGCAGAAAATTGAAAGAAGTTGACGGGCAAATTGAGTAGAGAATAGAGATAGATCCAGTCGAACGATTTCGTTGAACTTGCAGTCTACACAGTAGCTAGGTTTTTAAATTAATCCGATTTTGTTCTCGGCTAATATTTTCTTTAAAAAACTAAAAAAAGGTTGCTGGTTTAATAATTGGTTTTTTGTTTTTGTCAGAAAAAAATATCCATTTAGTAATTATTTGACCAATTGCCCAAATTACTAAAATATCTCCCTACACAAACTCTCATGATTTTGAAAGGCAATCAGTAGGCGCCCTCCCTTGACGAGGATAGAGCCTGAGGATTGAACTTCAAATTTCTAAAAAAATAACAAGATACCTTAATTAACGTATTTATATCTAAAATAGTTTTAGTGAAAATAAAATATTAGTAATTTTATTTGCATTTCACGATATGAAATATTAGGAATTTAATATCCGTAACCCACTTTTAATAAATATTTACAAAATTGTCAAAAAAAAATTAAGAAAACTAGTCTAAATTCTAGTACATAACATTTTTATCTTAAAATTATTTTCATTTTTTGATTTATATGAGTTACAACAGAACACAAAAATATTATTTTATTTTAAAATAAATCACAGTAGATTTTATTGTGATAGTAAAATTGAAATAAACCGTATAATGTTGTGGCTAAAAAAGGGTTATATTTGTAAGTTTGTCTGAATCAATGTGTTGGGGTCAGACTATAAACACGTGAATATATAATTCAACAGTAATTGACATATATATGAAATTAAGAGATTGTGAATTCGATCCCCACCATCACATGTCCCACATGTTATACTAAAAAAATTGAATAATGACATTTAGGAATATTTTACTAATACTCGTCTACCTTATTTAAAAAATTCATGCAACATCTTAACAGCCATGCATAGTCTGGTAGTACATGCTTATTTCTTAATCATATTTAAATTAAAAAAATTAAAATTAATTAGGAGAGATTCCTATTTTTGGAAGAGACGTGTAGATCGTTGGTCATAGTTAAATCTATTCTCCACAGTATAATGTGGGGTAATATAGAGTAAGGTTAGATGCAGGGAAACATAACAAATTGAGTAGGTCTATATTTTTAGTTAAACAAGAGTAAGCCAGGTTAAGAAAGTAGAAGTTTGGAGTTGGACAATAATTTGTTCGATTTCATTTTATATAATATGGTCCTACACCCTATTTCCGTGGGCATTGCTATTAAAGAACAAATAAAATAATTACGAAGATGCAAACAGAGAGCCTCACTATAGCTATACCATACACACCCTCCCCAAAAAAAGGCAAAATAAAGAAAAAGACGTCTCCGGCGCGAAGGATTCTAAAAGAAGGCGTTGAATCTGAAGAAGCCGCCGTAAGTGGCGGTGGCGGTGGCGGTGGCGTAGGCATTAAGGAGCTCGTTCTGCGCCGACCAGAAATCCGCCTTCAGGCCGCCCCTCCTAATCGCTTTCAGTATCTTGTTCCGGTGAACGTAGCTGGTCACCGCCACCTTCTGGCTGTTCCCGTCCACCTCCACCTTCTCCACCCCTGCAATTCAAACCACAACCACAAACACTCCCTCAATTTCACAATTACAACACACAAATTCAAATTTTGTTTTAGTAATTTTTTGTACTGTACCTCTCAACTTGGACAGGCATTTTCTAAGCCTTTTCTCGTGGATTCCGACCATGTCTACTTTGAATTCAACTGTCTGATCATACAATTACAATCAAACACAACAATTACGTTAGTGGGGAACATCGAATAGAGAGAGAGATTGAAGAAGGTAATAATAAAAAAATTTATAAGGATTTGGAATTGGAGTTGGGTACCTCCATGACTGGAAATTGGAATTCCAGCAGAAGAAACGAAGGAAGATAAAAGAAATGGAAGGCCCAGCAGAAGATGATCAGCTCTGCTCGGTTATATATGCAGAGGAAAAGTGGGGCCATGATCGGTTTTCCAGAAGAACCAGGCCGATCCAATCTAAATCTCTGCTTTTTCCAAAGACAGACAGGCAGACAGAAACAGATTACGAGATTCAAGAATCCCCTCTCCCCAAAGCAATGTGTTTCCATTCCAGTTCTGGATTTCAAGCCCTTTCAAAATGATTGGCTTTGACGAGTCCAACTTGGCTTTTTTCTTTTTCTTCCTTTACCTTTCAAAATCTGAGACCCCCTGCAGAGAAAAGCATCATTCGAGGCTCTCACATCCTAGCCCTCCATTCGGCCTCGGCGTGTCCAAAATCCCATCTTTGTAAAGATAAAGGTGTAAATAAAACCATCCCAGATTGCAAGTTTGGTATTTTTAACCTCCACTCCAGTCATCAACAAATTCTTTATTGGTGAACCTGTTAAAAACTGTATTCAGTAACCATGTTCAAATTACCAATTCGAACTCTTATTAGGGAACACAGATTGAATAAGCGCAGTAGAAGGGACAATTCGGAGTTGCATTTAATTTGCTTAAACAAAAAGAAATGGAAGAGAGAGAGAAGAGAGCCATTGAACCGACAGCGATTCGGAGCAGCAGATGCGATGGACGAGTAGAGCGAGCCAGCGTGTCCCTTGGCCTCCACCCCACTTCCACTTTATGAATCTCGAATTTTCAGACAATACAAATCTTATCGAAATTCGAGTATTCTTCATCGGATTACCAGTCCCTCTCTCCCCCGTCATATCTATTATAATTTTCCTAAACAAACGTGGAATTGGAAATGAAAATAGAAATAGAAATAGAAATAGAAATAGAAATGAAAGAAGAAGTTGAGGCCGAAGATCTAAGGCCAACACAACAACTGAAATGAAATGACCAAGGCAACGCATCCAAACAAAACAAAACACAGGAGATTGAAAAGTCAAATCAATCCATCTTCTTATCTTATATTGGCAATTTAATACAGCTTTAGTCCAAAATAACAATCCAGTAATTCCCACTTCCCATGACGGGGCAGGGGAGGAAATAGGAAATTGGAATGCCCCCCCGATCCGCATCTTCAAAGGTATCTTATGTGGACTTAAAAACTCCGTCTTTGGTCAATGGTCCACGCCTCCTCTCTATCTATTCTTCTTCTTCAGATTTCGGAATCTGATCCACTTGCTCCCAATTCCAGAAGCGCTTCTCAAGATCAGAATCATGAGAGGCCTCAAAGTGCTTTCCGCTCTGGACACTGCCAAAACCCAATTGTACCATTTCAAGGCCATAGTCATCGCCGGGATGGGGCTTTTCACCGAC